TACTTTATTTTACTTGTTTTATCTTTTAATATATTGAGAAATTGGTCGGGTTACGACATCCCTCCCCCTTTGGAAAAAGAAAATTAACTATACGTGAATTTTCGTCTACATATTTTTTCGTTATACATTTTTCGCATTTTACAATTGTTTTTTATATCTACTTTATTTTAGCATCGCAGTATAATTATTGTGGTGTGGGTTTCTATCTCTACTGTTACATTTGATTCGCTTGTGGTGCCGTAGATGTGCTCTTGAATTATTTTCGGTTTGCACATCGGATTTATATTGAGGTTTTCCTGACGCATCGGCTTTCTTAGGGACTACCAATAACGGTGCGTTCCATTGGCTCGTGGTTGATCTGATTATTCCATTTTTTAACATTTCTCGGACTTGTCGATTTACTTCTTCTTTATGCTTCTCCGGCAGGCGATAAGGCCGTACGTTGACCGGTGAACTATCTGCTTGCGTTGCAAATCTTATGCGCGACGGTATCTGTGCACGTGGTTCTCCTTGGATATGCATCACGTCGCTAAAATCCTTGCAGATTTCCATTATCATTTTCTTTTCTTCTTTATTTAAATGTTGTGTACATAATAATCTTAATACTTTTTCACTACGCGGGATTACTTCCTCTTTATTTGGCGTTCGTATTACGTTAATTTCTTCTGTTTCACTTCGTTCGATTTCCTCTACACTTACTTGCGGCATTAACATTTCGATTATGTTATCCGTTGTATTTAGAATGCTTGCTGCACATATGTAATTCGTAGGTTCTACTAGGCAATTACCTATAAATATTCCTGGTATTGTTATTTCTAGTTCTGCCTGTATCACGTCTATCGCGTTTTTATCAGTAGCGACCTGTATTATTGTTTCGCTACGTGGTTTCAACGTCATTTTCGTCATTTTTTAAAGCTTTAAGATATGCTGTCCTACCTTTAATTGCGTTGTTTTATAATTGCAAGTGGCTTGATGTTTTCGTAGGAAATCAACGCCTAGTATTCCGTCATATTCTATCGGAAAGTCATCCTTAACAACGTACATAGTATGCTTGATTCGGCGCTTTTCCAGAGTTATTGTCGCCTTAAATTTTCCAATTGTACATATTTTATGTCCCGTTACGCCGGTGAGCGTTATCTTTTCTTCTTTTATTAACGTTTCGCCTTTTAAATGTTTCACTTTAATTAGTGATATTGCGGCTCCTGTATCGAATAGCAAATTTATTTTTTCGCGTTTCGCTTCTCGCATTGGTAATGTGACAAGGTCCAATCCTGTCTGTATATGCGGCGTATTTTTAAAGTGTGATACTTGATATTCAATTGCAGGTCGGTGCGATTTTCTTTCGTTCCTTTCCTCCTCATCGCTACTTTGCGCGGAGTTAAATTTCTTTTTTCCTTGCTCGCTATTCTTGCGGTTTTTATTTTCCGGTCGCGAATTATATTGTTTGGTTCGGCTCGATTGATCTCTATTGGGTCGTCCGTGTAATAACCAACATTCTTCGCGATCGTGTCCGGATTTTTTGCAATAATTGCAATATTTATTTATCGTATTTACGCGGGGTTGTCTATCGGGTTTCGGCAATGAAAATCGATTCGCGTATCGGCTAGTTCGACAATCTCGACCGTAATGCCCGGTTTTTCCGCATTTTTGACATTTTACATTCGTTTGATTTTCCTGTTTATAGGTCGGTGTAAAATTGATTTTGCTTCGCGTGCCGGTCGCGGACGGTCCTTTAACCTTTTCTTCCGCGCTGGCCGCTGCTATTGCTTCTTGCAACGTAGCATATCCTCGCGATCGAACAATTGTTTTAATTTCGTCTTGCAATCCTATTTGGAAATTTTCTAAGGCTTGTTGCTGTATTATTTCCATGATTGCGCGTTTATTATCTACTGTATGATGACGTCCTTCCATCATCGATTCGTATAGCTCCATGGCTAGTTTGTCGGCTCTAAGTCCGTAAGTTCGCGCGCTTTCTCCGTTCTTCTGTTTTAGCGTGTTAAATTCAATTTGTAGATGGGTCGTACTCTTTTTGCTTGCGTAACAGACCTCTAATTCTTGTTTCAACTGTGCGAAATCTTGAATTTTACGCGTTTGAAAGTCTAGCATCGCTCTGCCTTTTAATTTCGTGCATAATACTGCTCCTAATAGCGTTACTTCGTCTAATGGGTCAATATGTTCTACTGCATATGTAGTCGCGCTCAAAAATTCTTGCAATTTATTTGGCGATCCGTCGAATTCCGGAATCATTCCGCGAGCTTCTTTTAATGGTAAAAATCCGTGTCCTCTTCGATGTCGTACATCTTCGGGTGTGGACTCGTACGCGGTTTCGGTTCTTTCTCCCGGCGGAGTTCTATGCTCATTGTTTTGTCGGGGTTGCGATCCTCTCATTTTTAAATCGTATATCTCGGCATGCATACTTCTAATTTCCCGTCTCATTTCCTCTCTCATTTCCCGCAATATGTCCCTAAGGTCGGCTGCTTCGTCCGTTTCTTTCCGCGGTTTGTATTGAGCTTGCGCGTTTGATTGTGTCGCGTTTCTATTTGCTTCTTCTTGTAATCGCTTAATTCCCTCATCGATATCTTCCGATGTGATGGGTTGCGATGCGGAAGCGTTTGAATTATACATGTCTCGAGTACGATAGATTTCGTCGGGGTCAAAGATACTTGAATCGTATGACGTTAGTGAGAATTCGCGGCGGTGTGTTAGTCTACTAGACGCGCTTATTGATGATTCGACATCAATATCTAGTTCTATATTATTCGCTATTAAACTGTTGTCTAATTCGCCGAATGAAAATTCGCGTTCGATTACAACGTTTGCTCCGAGTTCTGGTTCGGACAAATTCTCGCTTGAATTTAATTCATTTAGATTTCTTCGTACGTTATCGCGTATATCCCGGAGTGCTTCTACTGCTACTCTTATAGGGCTTACTGCGCTATTTCTAATGGCTCTATTCGCTGGTTCGCTAAATAGCCACGATTTATTCGCTACGCTTTTTTGTTGCGCGTTTCGGTTTTCCGACATTCACGCGTTTACAAATTTTTAATTGTTCGACTTACAAAAATACGATGAGCAGCATTGTCTCTCGTTCGGTGTCGGCCGTCGGGCGTCGATCGTCGCGTGCTGTTGAGATAGGTCGGTGCGCCTTCTCAGGTTCCGCTTATCGTTGTCGCCTCGATGTACCGGGTGACTCGAAGTTCCTGATGGACTTCCTTTTCCTCGGTTGTAATTGTTGACCGTTTGACGGAGTTTCCTTTGCTGTCTCTCGTTCTGTCGATTCCACGGAATTTTTCTTCCTCGTGGTTGTGGACCTTTGCCGGTGTCGATCTTGTTAGAGCTGGCGTATCCCACCGCTGCCACCAATTAATGTTGTGCCTCTAGCCGCTAAGGAAGAGGTCTTTAGGGATTTATACGCCCAAAGGATTAGGATCCACGCTCGAAATAAGACACTCCCGGACGTTAGGTATAAATTAATATATTTCACAGGTTTTGGTACACTTTTACTTATTCGCGATTATAATAGTCGGACGCGATGTAAGGTATATCGATACTGTTGATATGAGCGAGCGAGTAGTGAGCGATGTTAATGAGCTATATTACTGAGCTAGCGTCGGTGCATCTCGCGCTCAATATATATTAATTAATTAGGTCGTTGATTAGGGAGGAGTGTGGTGTCCCTGACCGGAGCATGTCTCGTGCTCCGCTCGTCAGCTGTCTCGTCAACTGCTTACTCAGCTTCCGAGAACTTGACCGTGACTTCCTTCTCTTTAGTCACGTATCTTACTTTTATTTCATTAATAATCTTTTATTCTTTCTTAATTACTTTTCCTTGAGATCTTTCCCTGATTCTAATGCTTTACTTTAGTCAGCTCTTTCTCAATCTTTTCTGTTCTACTTTACTTGTTTTATCTTTTAATATTAAGAAATCGGTCGGGTTACGACACATGTGAAGCTTTGTTTTTGATAAAATCGACTTTAAATATTATATTAAATACGCGTGCACTTGACTAAAACGCCTTTGTGCGGATCTCGATACAGACCACTATTTACTCTTCTATTTGTATACAATGTCACAAAACTCGAAATACACTGGAAAAGCTTCAAGATAATCTAATGAGAACCCGTGGGTTGAGCTGCCTATCGAGCACATCTCCGGGTGGCAGATAGGAGGATGTTCAGGACCTCCGGGTTGTCATTTTGACTACCCGAGCAGGCTTCTGGGTAGCGGTGGCTATAACTGGCTCCGGTGGCGTAAAACCCTGTCTGGGGCTCCATAAGCCAAGTTGGGAGCTATCGTGGCAAAGACTGCATGGCACTGGGAGCGCAGTGTCGTTAACGATGTCTCTGGGGTACGAGGACTCCCACCCCTAGGGGGAACAGTCTCGGCTTCTGGACGGGCTCTTCTGAGCCCGGAAGGGAACGAAGCTGCTGTCAGTGAAACAGCGGTTTCTCACAAGAGGAACTGCTGCCGCGCCGAGAAGAGGACCAGGAAGGACAGGGAGAAAGCCTTAACCGGGTCGGCTTCCCCTCCCTCTTCGGCCCTCGAGTCAACGCTGAAGGAGGTGGAGAAGGGGCACACCGGCAAAAGGGGTCGGACGGGCTCTGTTGATACCCCTCCTTCGATGCAGAGGGTCAACAAAAGACCCAGAGCTCAGGCAACTGGGCCCTACGTCTCTGCCGCTGATCCCTTGGCGAGAGCAATTGTCCAGCAGGGCTACCCCGAACGGACGGTGTCTCCTGAGCAGTTGACCTTGCTATGGAGAGCGTTGTTAATGAGCTGGTGGGGATCCGGGAGGGCTCTTTGCCACGCTTTACGGGGACGGCGGGTCTACGTAACGGCGCCATTGTCATAAGGGGGGAAGATGAGATGGCGCTCAATTGGCTCTCTGATCAAATTGGGCACATCTCTCCCTGGGAAGGTGCCAAGCTTAGGATGGTGGGCTTGGACGCGATTCAAAGGCGGCACAGGGCAGCTGTTTGGGTTCCGGGTCCTCCGGTGCTTGCGGCGGCGGTCCTGGAGCTGCTGGAGGGTAAGAATCCAGGCATCGCCACGTCCAGCTGGCAAACTTTTGCCGAGAATGTAGGGGCTTGCCCAGAGGGGAGAAACCTCGGCATCGCGGTGTCAGTTTCTATCTCAGCTGTTCTATTCGATCCGCTTGCGGTGCCGTAGATGTGCTCTTGAATTATTTTCGGTTTGCACATCGGATTTATATTAGTTTCTGGTAGTTTTTTCTTTTCTGTCTTATATTTTTTCTTGACGTACATAATTGCTATTATGGTAATTATTATTATTATTATTATTCCTGTGCAACTTGAAGCTACGGGATATATAACGTGTTCGTTAGTAGTAAAATAATTGTTATTTAAGTCTTCGTTTGTTTCGTCAAGTCTTTCGCTTAGGTCCCTTAATTCTGTCGGGTTTCTAATGACTTTTCGTAATTTTATCGGTCTAATTTTGTCCAGTATTTTTTCGTTTCGTATGTCATGTATCATCGTAAGATTGTAATCTGGTAGATTTGTCTGTACGATTGTTATTATCGCGGGCTTTTTTGTTCGTATTATGACGTCTTGCGTCGTTAATTTACATTTTTCCTTTAATGTGATTTGTCCGCTTCTTTTTATTTCTAGTTTTCGCGTTGCGTCGTTTTCGCACGTTATTTCGATCGGTTGGTTTGCTCGTGTAGAGTATAACCATGAGTTCGCATTACTCAGCGCTGTCCATATTGTTGTATTCGTGTGTATGTGTCGAATATTACAATTGTTTGTGTATGTCTCTAACTGTACATACGCTTGTACTTCGCATAGCGCTCCTTCGTCTAAATAATGTATGGGATAATTTTGTTCGCAAACATATTGGTCATTATTTCGCACGCATTTATTTAGATCGTTTTCGGTAGGCGTAAAATACGTTCGGCTATCTACATCTATCGCTATTATCGGTTGATTTACTTCTATAAATATAAATGTGTTATTAAATTTGTGCGTAGGTAATGGGATTGCCTTTATTATTTCATACTCGGGGTATGTGATTAGCGGAATCTTTATAATCGTAAATATATTTGTATTATCGTAGTATGCGCTAATTGTTAAGAACTTTTCGATTGTTCTCCAATTTTCTGCGGATATTTGAAATGGGAAGTGCGTTCCCTGCGGTATTTGTGACGCTGTTTCCTTCATGTTATCTAGAATGCTTTCGATGGGTAATAATCTTATGTCGATTATCTCTTTTTTCGCGTTCGTCAGATGCGCGATAATGTCCATAAGATCGTTCGATAGATCTTTTATTATGGCATTTAATATTATGAAGTGTTCGTCGAGATCTTCTCGTTGTCCATATCCGACTTTTGTTTGTATCCAGGCTTGTCGCATCTTCTCTGTTTTTTTTTAGAATTGTTCTTCATTTTCTTGCAGAACTTTTTCAACATTATCAACATGCGCAATTGTTGCGTTTAATATTTTAATCTGATTTTTCATCGCGTGCTGCAGCGTTTGCTGATTTCTTTGCATGAGATTTAATTGCTCCTTTATAATTTTTTCGTCGTCTGCGTCCATTGTGCCGAAGAGTGTTTTGGCTATCGTTCCTAGACCGTCGATTAGCCCTCGTCTTGTCTTCTTGGGTGCTTGGTACGCAAATTTTAGGCGTTTTAGCAATTTTTCTGCTTGTTCTCTGTCCTTTTCTGCTATTTGTAGCAGGTTGTGGCAGGTTTCTTTCATTTTTATTTGCAATGGTTTATCGTAGCATAGAGCTCTCGTTTGTGCCATATAGTTTCTCAATTGTTCATGTCGATGGTCCATTGCGGCGATGTCTATTTTTATCACCATCTTCCATGTGGACTCGATTTGGTTTATCTTGCCCATTTTTGCGAGGTAGGTACCCGGTTCATATTTAAATTCTTTTATTTCGACTTGGGTATCAGGTTCGGTTTCCTTACAGGTGCTCCGTGCAATAAGACTCCTGTAATAGAAAGCTTTGTATTATATTATAATATTTTCTTAGAATCATTTGCGGTGCATTCTCTTTTTCTCTGGATGCATATACAGCTATTTTTGCTTTTATCTAGCCCTTTTCAGGCTTTTTATTCGCTCTTCCATTCAGTCCGTCTTCCGACGTCGTCTTGTATTGAGCGTTTCTTTTTTATTTTCTCTCGCGCTGTTTTATTATCGCTTTGTGTTGTCGATTGTTGGTTTCATGGCTCCGAATTCGAGTGAGTTTCGTTTCGCTGCGGGGCAGAGTTCAGTGCGTGATAACGGGCGTCGCGCGGGGCAAGATCCGGAGGAGCACGACCATTTTGCTCGCTCCTTTCGGGATCAACTCTCGGCGCCCGCGTTTGTTCGCGAGATCGATCTACTAGGTCTTCCAGATCTAGTGATTGACCGTGCCGTTGCTTTTGTGCCGGAAGTGGCTGTGGACGCTCTGCCGCCCCATTTTAATCGAGGTCGCGGGCTTGAGTTCCGCTGGGATCCGGCTCCTCGTTTCGTGGGACGTGGTTGGTTTCTCAACCCCGAGCCTCGTCCTGTGGGTCGTGGTCGCTTCCTCAACCCCGAGCCTCGTCCTGTGTCGCCTCTTCTTCAGGCTCTGCGGGAGTGGAACCGGGGTCGCGGTGCTGGACGTGGAAGTGGAGGGCGTTAAGGTAGGAATTTTTTATTTCTGTTTCTCTTATTATTTATTCTATTTTTTATTTTATTCGCGCATTTTTCTGTTTCTTTTTCTTCTTTCTCCTACTTTTTTTAATTTTCGATAAATGGTTTTAATCGATTTATGTGGACGCGTATGGTTTTCCTTCCCCTTTTTATTGTGTAGTTCACTTCCGAATTTTTTTCGATTATCGTATAGGGTCCGGTCCATAGGGAGTCCAATTTCTTTGATCGTCCTCGGCGAACTGTTTCGTCGTACAAGAGGACTTTTTCTCCTACCTTAAGTTTAATTTCTTTAGTCTTTTTATCATAATTTTCTTTGGTTTTTATTTTTTCGTTCTTCAGATGCTCCTTTGCAACTTGCTGTGAGGCGCGTAATTTTTCTTTCAATTCTTGCGCGTAATCATCGTATGTATACGTGGGCTTAGGCGGTTGCGACAATGTCGTCGGTAATGTTGCTCGGTGCCCGTAAATTAATTCGAAGGGTGTGAACCCTGTCGCCGTGTGCGGTGTTGTATTGTATGTAAACATCGCATAGGGAATCCATTCGTCCCAATCCGTTTGATCGGCATTTATATAATGTCGGAGATATTCGGCTAGAGTCCGGTGAGATCGTTCTAGCGCTCCGTTGCTTTCCGGATGATACGCGGTTGTTTGAATCTTTTCGATTTTTAATAGTTTGCACGTGTTTTTAAATATTTCACTTAAAAAATTTGTTCCTTGATCCGTTAATATTTTTTCTGGGATACCGTGTTCGAAAATTATTTTCGTCGCAAATTCTTTTGCAATTGTCGCGGCTTCTTGATTCGGTATCGGAATTGCTTTACTAAATTTTGTTAGATTATCTTGGAACGTTAAAATATATTTATTTCCATTATTAGTAATCGTTAGTGGACCTACGATGTCCAATGCACATTTTTCAAAAGGTTTATCGGCAGTATCCGTTATTATTAGCGGTGCCTTAATTTTCCGCGATAATTTGTTTTTTTGACAAAATTCGCATTTTGTTATATAGTCTTCGACATCTTTTGTCAATCCTCGCCAATTGTGCTTTAGGCGAATTCGATTAATCGTGCGCTCTTTTCCTTGATGCCCTCCCACAGGTGCATCGTGATATTCGTATAGAATACGTCGCTTCTCGTCTTCCGTGTATTCTCGCGTTATCTTCGTGTCGGTGCTCTCATCCTCCTCGACGCTGTTGATATCCGCCACGTGTCGACTTAGCGCGTCAGCGTTTCTGTTCGCTGTTCCGGCCTTGTGTATGATCTCGTAATCGTATTCTTCTAATTTTAATCTCCATCTAATTAATCGAGATCCAGGGTCGGTTACATTAAATAACCATACGAGCGATTTATGGTCTGTGACTATCGTAAATTTCGTCCCGTATAAGTACGGTCGAAAATGTTTAACGGCCCATACTATTGCTAATAGTTCTTTTTCGGTCGTATTATAATTTTGTTCGGCTTTTGCTAATATTCGACTGGCATATGCTATTGGTTGATCTTGGCCTATTTCTCCTTGCGATAATATCGCTCCGATTGCATAATCTGATGCATCGGTCGTTACGATAAATTCTTTTTTGAAATCTGGGTATTTTAGTAAAGGTGCCGTCGTTAATTTTTCTTTAAGCATTTCAAATGCTTGTTGTTGTTCTTGCGTCCACTCAAATTTATTTTCCTTTTTGGTTAACTTCGTTAGTGGTTTCGCGATTTTAGAGAAATTTTCAATAAATTTTCTATAATATCCGGCTAATCCTATGAAAGCTTGAATATCTTTTACTTTCCTAGGCGTCGGAAAATTTCTTACGGCCTCTAATTTAGACGGATCCGGCGATATTCCGTTTTCTGTGATTATATGACCTAAGTATGTCACTTCTTTTCGTAGGAATTCGCATTTGTCCGGCTGTAATTTCAGATTGTTTTCTCGCAATCTTCGTAGGACTTCGATGAGTCTCTTGTTATGATCTTGTAGGCTGGCTCCGTAGATTACGATGTCATCTAAATATACTAAGCATTTTATTCCTCGTATGCATATCAGTATTGAATTCATTAGTCTTTGAAATGTGGCTGGCGCATTTTTTAATCCGAAGGGCATTCTATTGTATTCGTAATGCCCGTGAGGTGTGGAAAAAGCAGTTTTGCATTTGTCGCCTTCTTCCATCGGAATTTGGTGGTATCCGGATGCTAAATCCAGAGTTGTAAAGTACTTGGCGTTTCCAAGTTGATCTAATATATCCGTTATATTCGGTAAGGGAAATGAATCTCCTATAGTTAGATCATTTAATTTTCTAAAATCTACGACTACTCGTAATTTCGGTTTTCCTGACGCATCGGCTTTCTTAGGGACTACCAATAACGGTGCGTTCCATTGGCTCATGCTTGGTCGGATTATTTTATTTTTTTAACATTTCTCGGACTTGTCGATTTACTTCTTTTTTATGCTTCTCCGGCAGGCGGTAAGGTCGTACGTTGACCGGTGAGCTATCTGCTTGCGTTGCAATCTTATGCGCGACGGTATCTGTGCACGTCAGTAGTTTTCCTTCGATATGCATCACGTCGCTAAAATCCTTGCAGATTTCCATTATCATTTTCTTTTCTTCTTTATTTAAATGTTGTGTACGTAATAATCGTAATACTTTTTCACTACGCGGGATTACTTCCTCTTTATTTGGCGTTCGTATTACGTTAATTTCTTCTGTTTCACTTCGTTCGATTTCCTCTACACTTACTTGCGGCATTAACATTTCGATTATGTTATCCGTTGTATTTAGAATATGCTTGCTGCACATAGGTAATTCGTATGTTCTACTAGGCAATTACATATAAATATTTCTAGTATTGTTTCTTCTGCCTGTATCACGTCTATCGCGTTTTTATCAGTAGCGACCTGTATTATTGTTTCGCTACGTGGTTTCAACGTCATTTTTAGATAGGGGTAAAGCTTTAAGATATGCTGTCCTACCTTTAATTGTTATGTTTTATAATTGCAAGTGGCTTGATGTTTTCGTAGAAAATCAACTCCTAGTATTCCGTCATATTCTATCGAAAAGTCATCCTTAACAACGTACATAGTGTGCTTGATTCGGCGCTCTTTCAGCGTTATTGTCGCATTAAATTTTCAAATTGTACATATCTTATGTCCCGTTACGCCGTATTTCGCGTTTCGCTTCTCGCATTGGTAATGTGACAAGGTCTAATCCTGTCTGTATATGCGGCATATTTTTAAAGTGTGATACTTGATATTCAATTGCAGGTCGGTGCGACTTTCTTTCGTTCCTTTCCTCCTCATCGCTACTTTGCGCAGAGTTAAATTTCTTTTTTCCTTGCTCGCTACTCTTGCGGTTTTTATTTTCCGGTCGCAAATTATATTGTTTGGTTCGGCTCGATTGATCTCTATTGGGTCGTCCGTGTAATAGCCAACATTCTTTGCGATCGTGTCCGGATTTTTTGCAATAATTGCAATATTTATTTACCGTATTTACGCGGAGTTGTCTATCGGGTTTCGGCAATGAAAATCGGTTCGCGATAGTTCGTCAATCTCGGCCGTAATGCCCGGTTTTTCCGCATTTTTGACATTTCACATTCGTTTGATTTTCCTGTTTAATATGTTGTAAAAAAACAATAATGAAATAAACAAACTCCAACTTTTTATTACTTCTATATTTACATATAGATATAGGTGTACCCAAAATTAATAAAAAGTTCAAGCCTTATTTTATTATTTTTTTTTTATTTTTGTCAAAGACCGAAAAGTATAATTTTGAATCAAATATCGGAACCTCGGGTGTGGACTCGTACGCGGTCTCGGTTCTTTCTCCCGGCGGAGTTCTATGCTCGTTGTTTTATCGGGGTTGCAATCCTCTCATTCTTAAATCGTATATCTCGGCATGCATACTTCTAATTTCCCGTCTCATTTCCTCTCTCATTTCCATCTTCTTGTAATCGCTTAATTTCCTGCTCGACATCTTCCAATGTGATGGGTTGCGATGCGGAAGCGTTTGAGTTATACATGTTCGTGCGATAGATTTCGTCGGGGTCAAAGGTACTCGAGTCGTATGACGTTAGTGAGAATTCGCGGCGGTGTGTTAGTCTACTAGACGCGCTTATTGATGATTCGACCTCAACATTTAGTTCTATATTATTCGCTATTAAGCTGTTGTCTAATTCGCCGAATGAAAATTCGCGTTCGATTACAACGTTTGCTCCGAGTTCTGGTTCGGACAAATTCTCGCTTGAATTTAATTCATTTAGATTTCTTCGTACGTTATCGCGTATATCCCGGAGTGCTTCTACTGCTACTCTTACAGGGTTTACTGCGCTATTTCTAATGGCTCTATCCGCTGGTTCGCTAAATAGCCACGATTTATTCGCTACGCTTTTTTGTTGCGCGTTTCGGTTTTCCGACATTCACGCGTTTACAAATTTTTGATTGTTTGACTTACAATAGTACGATGAGCAGCATTGTCTCTCGTTCGGTATCGGCCGTCGGGCGTCGATCGTCGCGTGCCGTTGAGATAGGTCGGTGCGTCTTCTCAGGTTCCGCTTATCGTTGTCGCCTCGATATACCGGGTGATTTGAAGTTCCTGATGGACTTCCTTTTCCTCGGTTGTAGTTGTTGACCGTTTGACGGAGTTTTCCTTGCTGTCTCTCGTTCTGTCCACAAAATTTCACGGAATTTTTCTTCCTCGTGGTTGTGGACCTTTGCCGGGGTCGATCTTGTTAGAGCTGGCGTATCCCACCGCTGCCACCAATTAATGTTGTGCCTCTAGCCGCTAAGGAAGAGGTCTTTAGGGATTTATACGCCCAAAGGATTAGGATCCACGCTCGAAATAAGACACTCCCGAACGTTAGGTATAAATTGATATATTTCACAGATTCTTGTTTGAATTTAACCTGGCAAATTTTATTAATGTTCATTCTTATGGATACACATTTACTTAAATATACATTTTAAAGTTATTTAATGTAATATAGATATGTAATTATTCGTCATATTTTAAAGATGGAAAGAA